GATTATCCTGACCATATTTTAAAAATCCGGAAATTTTTTTTCCTTGAATATCCGGAAAAAATCCGGAAAACTTTTTTGTAATATCCGGAAAAAATCCGGAAAACTTTATAGTAATATCGGGAAAAAATCCGAAATTTACAACAAGGAGGGAAGATGTTAACAAGGGGGGCGTGCTCTCCTCGATTTTTTTAATATTTCTTTAATATTACGTCAGTTTAACCGTATCTATGAATAAAAAGCTACATATTTTTTCATCAAAAAAAAATTAGTAATAATAAAATTTTAACAATAATAATAATAATAAGAAAAATAAGTCAAAGAAAAAGTAGAAAACTATATTTAAAAGCTGTTAAACAATGCGTAAACTTTTTTAGACATGCACTTATACATTTAAATACATAATGGATAATAAAATTTCGCTTCAATTCTCCAAAGATATACAAATAGATAAACGTTTAACGCGTTGTTACAGATCAGAGGCGCCACTATAACTGAAATCCCATGGGCGTTATTTATTTTAGCGTTTCGGTTTTTTTTTGTAGTAATTTTACAAGATTTATCCGACACTTTTGCTTGCCAACTTCTTTCAGTAAACATTTTATTACCTGTTAACCACCAACTTTTGGAAAATATAAATGAATTTTATATTAACTATTTTCGGAGCATACTTTAATCGCAAGGAAATAATAATAATAAAACACCAGACTTCTTATATACAAATAATAAGAAATCTTTAGTAATAAATATGTTTAAAAAAAGGAAATAAATTAATAAAAAGTAAAAAGGTATTGAATTGTTTTTCTGTAATCAGTTAATTTTCTACAATCAATTCTTCCACTCAGTGCTTAAAATGTTTTAAACTTAATTTACAATATAACGACTTCTTCTTTTATAAAAAAATCTACACGTTTCAAAATTAAAAAAAAAAAAAAAAAAGAATCCCTCTAAAAAACCCTATAAAAAAGTTTAGATAAAGTTTAAATAAAAATTTTAAATTTATTTTACATATGACAAACAAAGGGTGAGGTATTGTTAATGATTCACGTGCTTATTCATGTGGTTCAAAATTTAAAAGATTTAAAAAAGTTATTTTTTTTTTAATTGAAAGAAAATATAATTAATTTTGACAAGCGCTTTTTGAATTGAAAAGAAAACGTGCCTCAAAATGCGATTTATTTAAAAACCTAATAATAAACACTTCAAAGCAATTCGATTCAGTTGACGTTTAGTCAAAGTACATATGTTTAGATTACTTTAAAAGAATAAAATCATAATATATAACTCTTATTTGTATGTAATAACTTATTACTAACAAAATAATTAATCTTAGTCAGTAGTTTAAGTTTTTGTATAAGATTTAATCACCCTTTACGAAAACAAGTTGTACTGAACGACCATAATAATACACCACGGTATTACAGTAACTGTAAGATTAATAGAATTTTCTACAAGTTGAAGGTCATACCAAATATCTCATTCGTAGATCGAACTATACATTGTTTCACTACTCTCTAGAAATAGATTTTACTAATATTTAAAGGGTTTAAATTTAACGATATTTCTCCTATATGACGGAAATTAAAAACTGATTTTTCTCTCACAACCAAGGTTTAAAAAAACGCAGTGGTGAGGCGTACGCTTTTTAAAAATTTTTAAAACTTGATAATAGTCACCCAGTGGGCACCCGACGTCAATCCGACGTCGGATTTACGTACGATTTTCATCAGCGATGTCAAAAGACGTATTCCGACGTTGTTCCGATGTCAGTAAAATGACGTCGGGCGATGTCTTTATCTCAACATCCCCTGACGTCGTTTCGATGTAATTTGACGTTGTTTCGACATCTTATAAAAGACGTCCAAAAAACGTCGCAGTACTGACATCGATCCAACGTCGATAAAAAGACGTCGGGCAACGTCATAATATTAACGTACTCCGATGTCTTTTGACGTCTTCCGACGTCAATCCAACGTCCTTAAAACGACGTCGGAACAACGTCGTAAGACATCGCTGATGAAAATTTAATCCAAACCCAACAATATGTGTGCAATTGCGCTCTTCAATAATTATGTGAACTAAGCGTGTTTTTTTATTAATGGAAAAAAGTTTGAATAATGGTTGATAAAACATCATGAGGTTTTGTATGATGCACTAGCATAGTTTTTTAACTATTAACATTTTCGAGTATACATTTTTTATAATATATAACTATTCGTTTTAATATTTATATAATATTTAAACAAAATTATTTCTTATCAAAGTAATAATTCCCAAATAGCTACAAGTATAGATTACTAAATAAACACTTAATCTAATAAGTTACTGTGGTGTAGTGGTAAGCGCGTAGGATTTAGTATCTAATAGACTGAGGTTCGATATCTGCTAAAGACAACGTTTTTTAGTTTTCAAAAAACACGTTGGATTTACATCGGAATGCCGACGTCGCGCGATGTCAGTTTACCCGACGTCAAATAACATTTCCATTTCCAACGTAAACCCAACGTCGATCCGACGTCGAGATCCGACGTCGCTCGACGTTCGTTCGACGTCGAAATGCCCACTGGGCAAGATTTAAAAAATCGTACGCCTCACCACTGCGTTTTTTTAAACCTTGCTCACAGATTTTGTCACAAAATTTTTATTTACGAGTACCGTTTATTCTTATACATATAGTTTTTATTATATAAACTATATGTTTAAACTATATATATTAATTATATATATAATTTAAATTTTTCTTATACAGTTACAGAAATGTAAATTAATTACAATACTTTATAAAGTTTTTGTGTGAATATTACAGACAGTCGTCATTTAAAAAATAATAAAATAAAAGTATTTCCAATGTCACAGCTGCTACCTGCAGCGGTGTACCTGTTAAACAACGCATTAAACGTCCATTCATTCATATGTCCTTAAATTCACTTAAAAAACATTTTAATTATTTATCTTTTAATTATCATCTCCAGTGTTAGAAAAAAGTCAATGGTACTTGTTTATAAATAGTAGTACTCAGTTGTGTACCACTCATATTATTTTAAAATATCAAAATTTTTTTCAAAATGGCTACTTTTAAAGAATTACAAAGAAGTGAATGCACAAGTTTACAAGAATTGGAAGTTGGAATAAAGAATACTTTTCGCTGGTCTTGGTTAGAAGAAAAAGACAAAAATGGAACTTTCTTGTCTGATTATATACGCAAGATAAATATTCCTGGAAAAGTTCTTTGCAGCATTTGTAACGTACTTTTGTCCTATAAAAATAGCGGTAAAAAAGACTTAAAAAACCACTCTAAAAATAAATCGCACAAAGAAAAAATAAATATTGCACAAACCAACACTACTCTCTCGTCGATATTTACAAAAAACAAAGTTGTAAGTACTTGTACTTTACCATACGGCACTGCTCTAAATGTTCATGATGAGCAAGCATGTGCAAGTAAAATAGAAAGTTCTGTAAAAAAATCTGTAGGAGTAGAAGATCGGATAGCACATGCTGAAGCGATGGTTCTTTCTTTTGTTGCTGAACATTCACTACCATTTTGTCTCACACCTGCAATAATAAGATTATCGCAAGTGCTTGCCAAAGACAATAAAGTTTTAACCTCGTTGAGTATGGCTGGATGTACAGCATCTTACAAGCTACGACACGGCTTAGCTGCACATATTGCTGACAATATAAAAGAAGATTTACGTAAATCGTACTTTTCAATAAATGTTGATGAGTGTTTAAACAATGCACACGAAAAAGTTTTCTCTATCTTGGTATCATATTACTCTGAAAACCAGATGTTATCAGTTGTACAGCATTACCATTCAAAATCTTTTACAGTAATTAATGCAAAAATATTATTTGATTACATAAAAAGCCTTTTTTTAAATGATGAAATACCAACTGATAATTTAATTTCGAACCTCTCTGACTCGACCAATTACATGCGCTGTAAAAAAACAGGTTTTGAGACCCTTTTAAGGCTACATGTCCCTCATCTTTTAGATATTGACGGAGACATGTGTCATCATATGCATAACACTGTTAAAAGATTCTTGGCACCATTTGAAAAGTATATTGAGTATTTCTGTAAAGATGTTCACAATGACCTAAAATGGAGCCCTGACATTCGAAACTATTTAAGTGAAATATGTGGTTACTTAGGTGTAAACTATCGAATGCCACCTGACCATATTGATCACCGTTGGTTATCAACGTTCGATGCTATTGAGTGTAACATGGCACTTTTTCCTGCTCTTAGCGTGTTGTACTTTTTTTGGTTAAAGAAAGAGGAACAAACTATCTACATGGATGATTATGAAAAACTAACGGAGGTAAAAATTTAAAAACGTCAAAAACTGCGAAAAAAACTTTTCTATGCAGATATAATGTTTTATTCGTGAAATTTTATATTTTTAGAACTTGTCAAATGGTGTAAAAAAAAGGATTTACTCAATTGGCGCTAAATGCAAAAAAAAGTCTTTAACTGAAGCTGGAAAAGAAAGAAAGAAAAGAATAGTAAGCAAACTTTTCTACAAGCGAAGAAAAACCGAGCTGCATGCTAACTTCTATATTGCAATCCTCCCGATTTTCAAGTCATTTATTTTAATATTTGAACAAAAAGAAGCGAAGATTCACATTTTATACGATGAGCTAAAATCAGTGGTTAAATCTTTTTTAGGCTGCTTTATGAAGCTAGAACTAATTAAGGATGCATCGGGTAAAAAACTAACAATGCTTGACGTAACAGACTTCAAATTTCACAAAATTCAAAAAGATTGGTACATTGGCAAAAACACAAACACAGCTCTTCTCAAATTTAGGTTAGTAAATTTGTATTAACTAAAGCAAAACAGTAATAATATTATTAAATTCGATTTTTATATACGCGACTTTTGATATTAGCCTATTAAGATATTAAAAAATAATCAATAAACTTATGTTATTTTTGAAATATAATTTAACGAGAAAGGTAACGAAAATCTTTTAAATAATATAGACTTGATGATCCTATCCGAACAGAGTTTGAATCGCATGTTAAAAGAGCATTTCTCGATGGTGCAAAGTATATGCAAAAAAAGATTCCTTTATCGAACGAGTTATTAAAACTACTATCCTCTATTGATCCAACGTGTGTTGGAAGTACAGTTGCGTGTCGAATGACGCAGAAGCTGAAAGAATTTTTTCCTAACATTATAAAAATTGACGAAGCAGACTTATTTGACAGGGAAGTTGTTGCGTTTCATCTCGCTAAAGACTTACCAGCAGTAAAAGGAAAAAGACTTGATCAATGGTGGTCCGAGGTTTTTGTATTGAACCAATACAACTTACTTACCAAGGTTATTAAAGCTTGTTTGTCAATATTTACTGGACCTATGATAGAACAATCGTTCAGGTAACTTTTTTGATCTGAGAGCTTCAAGTTGTAATTTAAAAGTAACTATTAAACACTATTTATAATATTATTACTAATTTAATTAAATAATTATTATAACATAATTGTATTATAGTAGTTCAGGTAAGTCAAAAACGAAGAAAAATTTCTTTAGACTATTTATTTCTTTTTCTTTACTAGTACCATGAATGATGTCATAAACAAGAAGACAACCCGTCTTAATGTAGAAACGTTTTCGGCAATTCAAACAGTTAAATTTGATTTGCGTTCAAAGAAAAGCAACTCTATAACTCAATACCATCGTCAAAACTTTTTAAAGTCGCCAATTAATAAGAAATTATGCGAAAAAATGATACTTTCGAAAAGTGTATACGAAAAGAGACTTGCAATGGTACGACTGGACAGAAAACGAAATAACGATGCAATAAATTTTGAACCACCGACAAACAAACTGAGAAAAGTTTCAGTCCATAAGCGAAGTGATTTACTTAAAAAAAAAGTTTTAAAACAATAAAAAAGAAATCTCTTTGCTAATAGCTAAAAGAGCTATTTAAAAAGCGTAAATTTACAATTTTTTTAAAAAAGAGAAGAGTTTGACACGCATCGCTAATTTTATTTTAAAAGTAGGAGATCATTCGCTCTTTTGCGCTGGAATTTTTATTAAAATTTATAAAAATGCTTATTAATTTTTGATTTACTCTGCGAGGGAAATCTTTTAATCTTTTTTGCTTTGTTAACTAAATATAGCGTTCCGTAATTTATGGACAACAAATTTACTGTTTATATATACTTGTTACTGTTTCATTTGATGACAGTAATAAACAGAAAAAAATTTATAAATTGTATTTTTGAAAACAATTTAATTATCCGGAAAATACAAAAAACTTAAAAAATATCCGGAATTCCGGAAATATCCGGAAAAAGATAATTCCTGTTAATTACACAAAAATGTAATCCAAAATCCACAATAATAGATAAATATCCTAATTAATATTTAATTTTCTGAGATGTTAAAAAATGTCCTGATTAATGTTTTCTAGCAAATATTAAAAGGTTTTAAAGTAAAAAAAAACCTAGTGCTTTAAATTTACATACCAACTTTTAAATGAGTGACTCCTTCTCCAACTTGTGTAACAACTCCACTTCCTTCATGACCAAGTACCATTGGTTTGGTGACCACAAAATCTCCAATTCTGCCATGCTTAAGATAGTGTACATCTGATCCACAGATCCCGACACATTGCATTGCAAGAAGTACTTCTAAAGTTAATTAAAAGAAATTATTACTTCCAAAGATAATAAATGATAATATTAACAACAATTAAAAATAATAACAATAGCATCAATAACTAAAACAATAATAATAATGATGAAAATAACAAAAATAAATAAAAACAATATTAACAAACAAAGTTCTTAAAATACAAAGGATTTCAGTTTTGCAAAGGAGAGTTGTTGTATTTATTTGTTTTTATTTAATTGTTGTTTAAATGTTGTATATAATTAATTAAATAAACTTTAAGCACTAGAGGCCTTTCAAAAAAATCATCAGTAGTGCAGTTTTGGTATTGTAGCAAGCCTGCAAAAACTTGTTTCTTTAATGATGTGGATAGCCAAACATTAGCTGTAATTTATGGAATGACGCTATTCCATAAATCAGTATAAAAACTTTGAATAAAATAAAAAACTATAAAATTTTTTTTAGCTAAGCTGCTAGCCTCTTATCATAACATATTTTATGAAAATTAAACTATTCTCATGTCTTGCTGCTTTGTATCATATCTTTGTATATCTATAAATTTGTTTATTTTGAAGATTTGTTCTTAAATAACAGACCTTAATAACAATTGATAACAACTTTTAAAACAACTTTAATGTCAGTCATTAAAATGTATTCTATAGACAAAACAAAATTTAGTGATTAGGAAAAATATGAAACTTGTTTTATTTGTTGATTTAATAAAAATCTTTTTTTAAATATGTTTAATATATTTCTCGTCCATATATTATTCTGACTACAACTTTACTATGTGAAGACTAAACTTTCTTATCTTTAAACAATAGTAAAAGAACAATAAAAATGTAAATTAAACAGTTTTATACATTATTCATCCTTTATTTATTTTATCACTTGTTAAGTTCCCTTTTCTTTTTGGCTAATGGTTTTTAATATTCTGTTTTAATTAGTTTGGTTTTTTCAGCCCATTTTTTAACACATACAAATGAATATATGCAAAAAACCGTGGCCAAATGGTTGAAAAAAAATTTAAAAACTTTGTATGCATGGCCATATAAGGCGTGCGACCACACGCATCTTCTGAGAAGGCTTGTGTGTGTGTGTGTATGTGGCTGGATAGCTCAGTTGGTTAGAGCGTAGAACAAAAAGTTCATATCCTGCCACCGCCAGGATTTGAACTCGTATCGATGCACTACTCAGTGCTTGAGTAGTACATCGGTACGCAAAAATGTTGGTCAATAACGAACGCTACTTTGGATTAGTCTCAATGACTATTCCTGTTCCTATGCTAAGCCAACAATATCTTCGGATATAAGAACATACATACATACATTAAAATTACATACATACATTAAATACAACATACATACAACATACAACATACATACATTAAAATTACAGCAAACACATTAGAAAAATTAACTTTATTATGTAAATATTTCATGGAATGGTTTTTTTTAAATATAAATAACAAAATTGAATGTTACATTTTTTTTTAAATTCTTAATATAAAATAAGTACTTTTTTTTCACTTGACATTTAATAAATGAATTAAAAAATATTAATTTTTTAATTATTATTTCTTAAACTTGTTTGTTTTTTAAAAGTTAGTAAGCAACAATTATAAAATATAACTTATTGTTAAAAAATAAAAACTCTATTTAATTACTTTACAGGAGATGTTGTGAAAGCAAAGATTATTTTAGGATTCCATGTACCATTTATCAAAAAATATATAAAATTGCGCTTTCACTTGCTTTTTTTTTTCATGAAAAAAAGTTTAACCATTTCATTTTCTGTGAAAAACTGTTGAATAACTGCACATGAAATATTATGATTGATTTAAAAATATAAAAACTACTCATCAGAACTTCCTACTATTAGTTAAAAACAGAAACCTATTATTTTAAGAGTATAGATAGTTTAAAAAAATAATTTATTTGTTTAAAAAAAAACAAGTTTGCTCACAGCAAAGCAAACGACATGTTATTTAAAACAGGAGACATGTTGGAAACAATTTTTTTAACAAGCAAGAAAATTTGATTTGTTTTAATTATATCAATTTACAGATATAAATATGGAAAGGAGGCTGGAGGAAATATGGAGGATAATTTTTTGTAAATGTGGCTATGTAAAAAAAACAAAAATTAACTATCTATTAAAATGCTTTTCAGTTGCAAAAATGTTCCATTCTTTAATGACAGATTTAAGTGATTAGTATATATGAATTGCTAACTTGAAAAAGGGGACATGTTATGTGAATTTTTGCAGAGCATGTCCCTTTTTTCAAGTTAGCGATTCATATAGCCTACAAATATCCTGATTGTAGATAAGTAGATTAAAAAAAACAAAATAATTATAGTTTAAAAAAAATCATTTATAACTACTAAATCATATTGATTGATAAAAATAAATGTTACTGAAGATTTTTGAATTATTCTAAACATAATGGCCTATGTAAAAAACTAGCAGGCGAAAAATCTAAACAACTTCATAATATAACAAATACTTGCTTCAAGAAAGGCAACACCTTTACAAAAAATCGACTTAAGTTAACACATCTTCTTATTTGAAAAATCAAAACTAATAAAGTGACAGAAGATCTTTAATACTGTAACTAATAAAGGAATAAATATTCTATATAAACACATTTTTGTTTAATTTGGAGCCTAAAAACATTATAAAGTGTAACGAAAATTTATAATTTTTAAAGATTTTTATTAAACTACCATTATTACATAAATTTTATACATATAAATATATATTTCATAGAAAAATAAAAATATACCATTCTTCCCAGGCTTTGGCACAGGTCTTTGTTCCTAATAAATAACCATTTTGTTGTTAAATAAAACTAAACTATATATACTACTCAGCCAGAATTAATTTTACAAAATTAACAATTTACAAAACTATTTTTTAATACAACGCCACCACCAACAGGAAATAACAAAATAACAAAATTTTTTTAAAGTTGAAAAATAGTAATAGTAGTAGTAGTAGTAGTAGTAGTAGTAGTAGTAGTAGTAGTAGTAGTAGTAGTAGTAGTAGTAGCAGCAGTAGTTCTCTTTATATTTTCTAATAATATGTTCATATTATTAGAAAATATAAAGAGAAACTATGAAAAAAAAAGTTGAAAAAATAAATACATTTATTTAATGTTTTTTGTCGTTATCTACAATAGTAAAATTTATATTATGGTAAATTTAATTTAAACAAACTGAGTGAAAATCATAAACAAGTAAATACTTACTTGATTTTTTTAGTTTTTAAATGATTTTAACTTGAAAATTTATTTCCATGTAACAAGTTATACATAACCTACACATAAAGTAACAAACCACAACATATAAACTGGTTTTCAAAAAACTTACAAGCTTCATATTATCAGGTCCATATAAAACCAATGACAAGTTATCTTGCTCCATTATTCTAGAATATTTCTTATTAAAATAAATGCAATACATATATATTGCATTTATTTTAATATTTCTTATTAAAATAAATGTAATACATATATATATATATATATATATATATATATATATATATATATATATATATATATATATATATATATATAATATAATATATATAATATATATAAATATATAAATTTATATAAATATAAATTTATATGTATACAAATTTATAAAGAAAATACAACTTTTTATGGTACTAATAGTTTCATGCCTAAATCATTAGCCATGTTATACAAAATAAGAAAAAAACTGTTAAAAGTTACAGTGGAGTGTGCTCCATTGTCAAAACAAGATTAAGAAAAAATGAAAATCTGAAAACGGCTGCCCAATTACCCGCATCATATTATAGAAATTTGGTTTTATACCAATATTTAGATACTAAATCGTTTCTCTAATTTAATGAGTTACCATTGTTGAGTTACAAGTTACAATATTATTACATACTTTTAATAAAGACATAGCTTGCACCGCATGATGTATGTATGTATATATATACACACACACACACACACACATATATATATATATACACATACATCTGTATCAATTTATCTCTCTCTCTCTCTCTCTCTCTATATATATATATATATATATATATATATATATATATATATATATATATATATATATATATATATATATATATAGAAAGAGAGAGAGAGAGAGAGAAATTGATACAGATTTTTTAGAGAAGGCATCAAAATTAAAAAAAAAAAAAGTTTATACTTTTATATCCTTTGTATTTATACATTTGACACTGAGTAGAGGATAACATTTTTTTATTTACAACTTATTAACTCATATTATTATTTGACATTAAACTTGCTCAAAACCTCCATCAATATATATTAAAACCCCCACAGATGATCAAGCACTTTTTGAAAATATCTAAAAATGTATTTATAAGTTGGGTTTGTTTGTCTTATCATTTTGTCAAATCAAATTGAACTCGTGGCCATAACCTAAAGTATTCTAAAGAATTTTATGTACATAATTATAGAAAAAATATTTTACTAAATCAAGCTGCAAATTATTAGAATACACTGTAAGAAAATGTTGTTAAAGCTAATTCAGTAAATTCATTTAAAGCAAGACTTGATCAATGGGAGTCAAACAATCACAAGACTAAGCTGTCATAGTGTGCTTTAAAACCACACTCACTCGCATACTAATATTAAATCATAATAAGCAATGTAGAACATGTTCATGAATTAGTAAGGAGTTAATATATAAGTTATACATTAATTTGTTAATATAACAGTTAAGTGGCGTAAAATAGTTATATTTTTTTGCTTATTGCACTCTCTTCAGTGGAGAATTTTTAACATAAATGAATATTTAATGGCTTCAATACATACATCTACCATTTTTTAAGTAGTCGATGTGAACTGAAGCCAATAAGCATTCCTATGTTTTAAGTCTCTATGGACAAAAAAATGCTGCATAATAAACAAAATAAATTAATTTAGACCGCTATAGAATTACCTCTCTCGCGCTATGTATATATATATATATATATATATATATATATATATATATATATATATATATATATATATATATATTGAGAGAGAAAGAGAAAGAGTGAGGTAATTCTATAGCAGTCTAAATTAATTTATTTTGTTTATTATGCAGCATTATTTCGTCCATAGAGACTTAAAACAAAATGTTGATGTATGTATTGAAGCCATTAAATATTCATTTATGTTAAAAAATTCTCCACTGACGAGAGTGCAAGAAGCAAAAAAATATAATTATTTTAGGCCACTTAACTGTTATATTAACAAGTCAATATAAAACTTATATATTAACTCATATATATATAACTTATATATTAAAAGATATTTCCATTTTTTAAGGGAGGTAAAAACAAAAGAAAGCACAACATTATTTTTAATATACAAATATATCAAATAATATACAAATACATCATTAAACGACTACTATGCACTTTTCCAACTATCCAAACAAACCTAAAAACAAATAAAACATCTTTTCTTGATTCATTTAAATTTGTGTGATATACAACACAAACAAATCAAAATTAAAATAAAAAAAGTTTATTAAAAGAATTAGAGAAGCCTAAAACGTTTTTACTCAATATTTAGGTTAGTTACTTTAATTTTCCTTCTTCTTTGGATTATTAACGGCAATGTAATGGTATAGAACAACTAGAAGAAATAGCGTTACTCCCAAAAAATTTGAAAAAACAGCTAACTGGTCGTCTGTAATCATTTTTGTTTATTTAGCTAAAATACAGTATTCTATATACAAGTTGTTTATAAAAGTTTTATCAAATAATTTAAAAAATATATCATTTTTCTAATCCGTATTCAATTTTCGGCAAAACCCATTAGCTAAACGTGGTAAATGGTGGTTCTATTAACTTTCGCCACATAAACAAAAGAAAAGCCAAACCTGCTTTAAAGACGTTTTCAAAATTTCAAAATTAAATTTTTGAATTTATATTTTCATTTATCTAATATTATTCTACAATATATATGAGATTAAAATAGTAAATTTGAATATTCTTTGAGAGATAAAAAAAAACAACAACTTAAGAATAATTTCTTTTAATTAAAGTTTTTTCAAGCTTGCTGAATGTTGAAACAGATAGAGTTTTTTCAAGCTTGCTGAATGTTGAAACAGATAGAATGTTGAAACAGATAGAATGTTGAAACAGATAGAATGTTGAAACAGAGTTTTTCACTTAATAGCAAAAATCCTAATCTTTAAGGTTAAAGATCGAATAAAAGTGTGAGTATGCATAAATTCGCACTTTAGGTGTTTTCCCAAGTGAGAGAGGTATAGTTTTTTTGAACTGCCGTGGCGCAGTAATTAAAGCATGTGCTTCAGAACCGTTGTTTAGATTCAACCAGGTTCAATGCCAACTCTGGCCGTAAATTGCATCATTGGTAAGGAAGGAAGCGTAAACCTTTAAGTTAAATGTTCTTCCGCTGTGTTTTTTAACAAGATTGTTACGTTTTTTTAAAGTACCATTATAAATAGATAAGAAAAAAGAAAGCTTGCACGGTTGAGTTTTCTCTTATATTTTTAAGGGCTTCAACCTTCACTTTGTTATCAAAAAATTTTCTCTTAACTTAAGCTTTATAAAATCTTGATTGATATAATACTAAGTTCTTTGAATAAAAGGTTTAAAATGTAGAAATTCTGTAAAATATTTTTGCTTTTATTCCACAAAATAGATGCACATTCAAAGAGCTGAGCTTTTGAATTTTTAACTGACTTGATCATACTTAGGTATTGTTGAAACAAACAAGACTCTCTTGCAGGTGGAAAAATTGAATAAACTGCAAGATAAATGGAGATAATTTACAAACTTAACTCTCTAACTTTTTCCAAATTGAAACTGGTAAAAAAATATTTGCACTCAACTATGGGTTAAAAAGTGTTTACTGGCAATAACTTTGATTAAAAGCCGATTAGTGGTTACAACTAAACTTATTGATAACTTGCCTCTATGAAATTGCAAATTATTGCATTTCAACTTTCTAACAATTTTAAAAATGCATCTTTTTTTTTTAAATCTTTTTGGATGTGCCAGAATTACGGCCAAAATTTGTGATTTCTAGCTCACCTCGGTTCTTGCCGGAATTATATTATTTCTTACTGGAATGCCGGAGTTTATTGGTTACTTTATTTTTTTAAGACATGTGACACAGACTGTGTAAATTAAATTAAAAAAATATAGTTTTACAGGACAATGAGGAAACAAAGGGTAAACCTAGTTAAATAATACAAATTTCCTTATAAATACAATGTAATTTTAGGTAAAGCTACAGTTTAGCGCTGTAAAATAATTTTATTTTTTCGCTTGTTGCGATTTTGTTAGTAGAGAGTTTTTACACATTAAAAATTTTATTTGAAATAATAAAAGAAAAAAAGATTGCTGCCCTATGCCAAATCCTCAGTTAATGTAGCAGCTCTTTCTTGTAGAAGCTGACTATAAGATGTATATACTTAAGCCAATACATAATCTTTATATTTATATTAAAAAGTCACCACTTTGAGCTCTCCACACGAAAGCGCAACGAACGATAAAATAAAATTATTTTAGACCGCATATCTGTAGCTTTGCCTAATTTAACTTGCAGTAATTACTTATAATTTCTAAAAGTTTAGGAATATTGTGGTGCAAAAAGAGTTGCTGTCCAGTTTTGGGCAACAAGCAAGCTCTTTTTTCATCAAAAACGTTACCTGTCTATAACAATAGTCTCATTTTGAATGTTTCTTAACTATTAAAAAGTATGGGATCCCTAATACAGTAAATATTTCACACACACACACACACACACACACACACACACACACACACACACACACACACACATATATATATATATATATATATATATATATATATATATATATATATATATATATATATATATATATATATATATATGTATATATATATATATATATATATATATATATATATATATATATATATATGTATGTATATACATATATATATATATATATATATATATATATATATATATATATATATATATATATATATATATATATATATATATATTATAGGTTATGAATATATATTACGTGGCCACAATGCTGAGGTGCAGGCTTTCACTTTCAATCTTGAAGGTAAAAAACTACATAAATATAAATCTCTTTCAGGCTGGAATTACGGCCGGAATTTTTTCAACAATTCCTGCAAATTCGGTTATAGCTGGAATTCAAAATTTCCAACCCAGTACACCCCTAATCTTTTGATAATATGTCAAAACAAGTTATTACCTTTGTTCAAAATTTCGAAAAGATTGGAACTTAACTTGAAACAAGTTTCAGAACTGGAAAAGCAAATCGAAAATGTTTTACTATTCTTAGAACTGTGGTTACCCGAATAACACACAACGTAATAGACCCAACAGAAGCCTAATTTTTGTGTGATTGTTGGACCTACGAAGCATTATGGTTGGCCGTAGATTGTCGTTGTGTTAGCATATGATCGATTACCCACCGTCCCTATTCTGGTGTCGTATATACTTAACAATATTGGTGAATGTTGGTTGAACTAAGTGCTAAAGTTGGCGACACGGAGCTTTAATGCAAATATACCACGTTGCCTTTACATTGGCGCACCGTTGGTGTAAAGTTGTTGGGATATATTGGTGTAATAAAGTGCTCAGATTGGAGTTGTCTTTTTATAAGATTGACAACACATCGGATTTATATTGGCATTGTTTATACTTAATATAATTGGCATACGTTGGCCTACTCTTGGTTTTATATTGTATGCGCAATATTAGCCAAACCAAGTCATACAGTTGGCTTTACGTTTGAGTAAGGTCGGTGCAAAATTTTTGACAATCAAACAACTCCTCATCTAACCGACGTGGTAGTTTTGTATTTAAGCTAGTTTACTAAAAAAAGCTTGCGTTAGCATATTCTAACCAGAACACTTTGTTGGGCTAATGTTGGAACAACGTTGTTTTGACGTTGGCGCAACGTTGACCCACAGTTTGTATTAAAGCATTAGCCCAACAAAGCGCCATGGTTGTATTTGCGTTGACAGATGAGTTGTTGGTTGTTGTTGGAATAGTTGGCAGTTGCGCGGTGGTATGCCATAAAATTTTTCTTAAACCAACGGTGCCGCAATATAAGGTAAATCTGGAACAAAATGCGTCTAAGCAACGTTTTGCCTGTAATACTTCGTTTGGTCAACATTGCACATAGAACCAAAACCAAGAGTAATTTAACGTATTTTCAACAATTCTGAGTATATGCAACGCTAAAGTAAGGACAATGGGAGCTGATCATCTGCCAGCACAACGCCAACTTACTTCTTCCTTAGCCCAACAATCACAAATACATTGGGTTAATGTTAAATTAACCTAGATTAGATTTGTATTATAATACAAATTTATTTTATCAAGTTCAAAAATGCTTTTTTAAACTTGTTTTGACATATTATCAAAGTATTAGGGGCGTACTGGATTAGCTTCTTGCAAACTTTACAATAGTTACAATTAAAATAATTATTCGTTAATTTTACAGTATTTAGAACAAAATTATCTAGTATATTTACTAGTTGTTACATGTATTAATTAATTAATACAAATGCAACATTCGATTCAATAAGGAGCTATTACAAAGGTGGGAGTTATTACAATTTTTGACAAGGGAGAGTTGTGAGGTCAAGAAAAGTTAACGTTAATAATGTTACTTTTTTAAATAAATTAAATTACTTAAAAATAGGAAAGAAGGATGTTTCAGGAAGATTAAGATATTAAGAAACAATCTCTGGCAAAATATTCTAAATACTCTAAAGGAAAGCTTTGTATTTCTTTTGATAAAAAGCGTATGAAACAGCTCCGTTCTTAACGTTTCACTCCTCTACTATATTAACTATAGTAACAAGAGGTTCACATTTCTCACATTATAGAGACTAAAACACCTCTGAAGATGAAAAGTTCTCAATATTTCACTCCTCCGCTATGGTTTCTCTACAAAAGATATAAGCAAGAGGTAAGTATTTCTCACTATATAGAGGCTATGACTGTAAAGAAGACAAAGTGGTCATGAAAGAACTGTCAAATTTCAGAAAACCTGGTGCACAGCCGAGAAGGAAGTGGCCGAGGTTTGAAAAACATAAGCTACCAATTATATTTGAGTCAACCAAGATTTAGGATCTTGTAATTCCAGAAAGTTGTATCCTATTTAAAGCTTTTGATGCCCTTAACGGTAAAGTAGAGTAGCGGAGGAAGGCAAAAGTTTTATGTATAAATGCAAGACCCACCTATCACCCGATTCTTTTCGCAACTTGTATTTACAAAAAGAAATAAATAGAAAGAAATAAATATATTCTAAGGAACGATAACTTAATTCGACAACCATTTTCTCAAACTAATTTTGGAAAATTTTTTATTTCGTTTCGCAGATAATTTTTTGGAATAGTATAGTTCTAAATACTTCTAAAGATTTTTCTCAAGAATGTAATTTTGATTCTTTTAAACAAAATCGTAAAAAACTCATTTTTTCAACTGAAAATATACTTATCTACTTTTAAATTTTTGAAAATCCCTTATCTATATTAGTATATGTATATATTTAATGTACATTCTTTTTTACTTATTTATTTTTTATCAACAAGCAATTATTCAACATGTTTTATTTTAATAAATTATTTAACATGTTTTAGTTTTTACGTTTTAGAACTCTTATATTGTAATATTGTATGTTTATTTATAATATTATATTACGAACTTTATATACTTTTATTATTAAATTTAATTTTGTAATAAAAAGAAATTGAACACAAATAAATAGATATAAAGAATGAAAACATTG